TAGTTATCTGAATGTATTCATTCGGAACGTATACTTCTGCATCTGACAAATTTATATGAAGTGGGCATGACTAAATATATTCAATAAGGTTGAACGACAAATATTGCATAGAAACTACTCACTTGATTAAAAGATTCATCATCATCATATTCTGACTGATTATTGCCACTTTTGGATTCTGAATCTGATCCATAGGCTAAAATAAATATGTCGTTACATGAAGAAGTTCATAAAGTATGTTCTAGTTAGGACTATCAAATAAACAATGCGTTCATTGTATAAGAAAGTCAGAAAATTGAACAACAGCTTGAAATATTTATTTTAAAAATATTATCGCCGAATGTAGTTGAAAAAACATATTTTCATTATTAAAAAGAGAGGATTTTTGTTAGAATGATTATCTGTATCATACATGCTATAAAATAACTATGCTATCGTTTTATGAACATATATACAAGAAGGAGGAACAGACTGAAAAAGAAATCGTATGATAATAAACTTTTAAAGAGTTTCTGAAAAAGCAAAGTACAAGAATCCTCTTTTTTCTGGGTGTGCAATAGGTGCGTGGGTGAGTGTGAGTAGGTGTGTGGTATGGTTGTAGATGTGGGTAAGTAAATAGAAGAGCATACTAACACTCTACACCCATTCATACCCAACAATTAATTTAAAAAATAGAATAAAAAAAATTTTTTAAAATACATTCATCGATGTGATGAAGCAGTTGGTGATCGTGAACTAGAGTCCTGCAGGGTAGGGTAGAGTTACGGTACGGGGGACACAAGGTAGGGTAGGGTGAGGGTACGAGGCACATGGTAGGGTAGGGTCAGGATACGGAGGGCATAGGGTAGGGTAGCGCCAGGGTAGAACAAAAACAATCCATGATATAATTAGGGCAGAAATGGTCAATTACATTATCCACAACTTAGTGTACGGACAAAATGACTATTAAGAATTCTAGCTAGTTTAGCAACAAGTAAACGTATTTTCAATGCAAGTGGAAGATTTTTAGAAGAAAGAAGACAATATTAAAACGGCAAGATTGTTAATGATGTTTTATTTTTAAGAAAGTTTCAAAATAAAGGGTGTTTCATAAGTAATGGCCCCATTTGTATTTTTTTCTTATCTTTATCGTATTTGAAGATGAATACTCATCGACGATATAGTTTTGAGGAGTAGCATCTAAGCTATCATCCAATGTGGATGATCCTTAATCTACATCAAATCTACGAACGGACTGCATTAGTGAAAATATTGAAAAAAGTTTATCAAATTTATTTTGTATCTTTTTCCTATAGAACATGACCTTCTCAGTATTCTGTGAACATCTCTCTCAACTTTTGATGCATTAACTTGATTTTTTTCCAAAAGATAGCTTGTGAAATTTTCTACAAAGTTCAATATGAACGGCTGTCCAAATGAATAACTTAGGACGGCTTCCAGGGATGTCGCGCGCATCCAAAGAGGGGGGGGGGGGGGGGGATACTTATAAAATCGTACTCGAGGTAGTATAAGTTTCTTTTTGTGAAATGAAATGCAAGACTATTTTAAGAATATCTGTTTGAATATTTTTTTTTCAAAAAAATAAAGCATTAAGGACATTCGGAAAATCATGAAATAAATGAAGACCTAAAAAATATCACGAACTCGATACAATTTTTACTCGTCTGTTCTTTAATCTTGACCAATCTTCAGCAAATTTCGATAAAACAACATTTTCTAATAAATCTTTTTTAGCTGAACAAATGATCAACCATTCCATTTTATCATTGGTTAACCCTAGTAACGATCTATCGAAAAGTTTTTCGACAAAATGTTTGCCCATTTTTGACTTTCTTAAAAGTATTCTAGGCGAGTGAAAAACTAGGGGTTAGGACCAGAATTTTGTGCTCTTTCCGAATATGGCTCCGAAATTGCGTATCTGTTTTCGCTCGAGAGTAGTGAGGAAATCTTTGAAAGGTTTAAAAACATAGTTTGGACAGAAAATTTCTTCGTAAAATTTCGTATTTCCATTCTTGGTATTCAGAACTAAATGCTGAAACTTTTCTTCACATATCAGCTTGTAGAGCAAAATTTGCTCTACAAAATGTAGTAATTCAGCTTAATTTTTTGTTCTGATAAAATACCTAAATTGTTGTTTTTCTATCAGCCGCATTTTTGAAAAATCGATTTTTTGATCAAAATTCGATTTAAGCAGATGTAGCTCTTACGAATATGGTTATAGTTTCACTAGTGTAAAAGCTACATTTTAGTTCGACATAATATTTTGTAAACGTTTGTTCGCTCTAGAAAATTATCAAATTGAATCATTTTTAGCACCTTTGCACAGGGACTTACGGAGGTCGCAAATGCCTGTTTGTTCGCCACTCACATCAGTTTTTCAGGACGTTTTAAGATTCCCTCACTACTCTACAACAACAATAGATACACAATTTCTGAGCCCATATTTGAAAAGAGCACAAAATTCTACTCCAAATCCCTAGTTTTTCATTCATTTAAAATACTTCTAAACCGGTCAAATATGAACAAAATATTCTCCAGAAACTTCGGTCCAACCGATCCGTCCAAACTATTTTTTAGACCTTTCAAAGGTTTCCTCACTACTCTCGAGCGAAAACAAATACACAATTTCGGAGCCCATATTCGGAAAGAGCACAAAATTCTGGCCCTAACCCTTAGTTTTTCACTCGTCTAGAATACTTTTAAGAGAGTCGAAAATGGGCAAATATTTTGTCCAAAAACTTTTCGATAGACCGTTACTACCAAGCGGGGTCAAGAATGACCCCACTGTAGATAAATGAAATTTAATAAAGATATCGTGGTATTTTTCTGCTTGGTGTGGGTGTAGGTGTAAAGATGTGGGTGTCGGCGTGAGCATGAATAGCAGACACTTTTGCCCAGACCCACACTAACACCCACACCCATTCCATCATCAGACCGAATAGAAAATAGTATAACTTGGACAAAAACATCGGTTTGATGATGAAAAAAATTGAATAATAAAAATATATCATTGTATAATGTCTAAAATAGGCATGGTAGTACTAGGGTTAATCATGAAAGCCTCAATCAACACAATTGGCTGTCCTATGTATGAAAATATATGACCCGATTTATTTGTACATTGTTTTTCGTCATGGCATGACACCTATATAGCAACTCTAATAATTCAATGCATGAATAATGCTACTTTCCACAATCTTGACACACTTTCGCTACAAATAAACTATCGAAAAAAGTTGTACCTTTTGGAAATTTTTTCTCAATTCCTTTAAAAAAATTTAGTTGCAGTTTTTCTAAGTCAATAATTTTCGATTACTGGGGGGGGGGGGGGGGGGGGACCCCCCCCCCCCCCATCCCCCAGTGGTCGCAACACCCCTGATGGCTTCAAACCTGTTCCTTCATGAAAGAAGCTACCATTGACTTTGCAGAAAAAAGACAACGTTACACAGTGAAAAATTTTAAGGAATTAAGCAAAATTATTTTGCACCAAAACCAAAATTAAAATCGATTGAAATCTTCGATTATAATGGACTATGATTGAATCAAAACTTGATTCTATTGCTTATATAGTGAAAATTTTCCAGATTAAAATCTAACTATTCTGCAGCAAAATCGAAATTACCAATTCAATCATAATTATGTTTTTGCTCCAGAATAATCAGACTTTAATCGAGAAAATTTTCACTACACAAGCAATAGAATCTAGTTCTGATTCAATCATAGTCGATTATAATCGAAGATTTCAATCGATTTTAATTTTGGTGTAAAATAATTCTGCTTAAATCCTTAAAATTTTTCATTGGATAGTAGGAGTGGGATTTCTATGAAATATAGTACTGTTGATCAGATATTGTTTTCTAATTGTTCTTTTGAAGCGTTATTTTATTGAATTTTGTAGAAAATTTCACAAGTTAGGTTTTGGAAAAAATTCAAGTTAATGCGTCAAAAGTTGCGAGGGACATTCACGAAATACTGAGAATATCATACTCTGTAGGAAAAAGATACAAAATAAATTTGATAAACTTTTTTCAATATTTTCACTAATGCCGTCCTTTCGTAGATTTGATGTAGATTGAGAACCACCAACATTGGGTGATAGCTTAGATGCTACTCTTCAAAACTGTATCGTTGATGAGTATTCATCTTCAAATATGATAAAGATAAGAAAAAAATACAAAGGGGGCCGTTACTAATGAAACACCCTTTATGTCATAATTTTGTATTTTATTTTTGTTAGAAATTAATAAAAATCTATTGAAATATAATGCAAAAAAAAACAGCCTGTTAGCATTCACTTAAATGTAAAATCTTGTGTATAGTAGGGTACAAGATACAAAATGTGTGTGGTAGGGTAGGGTTAGGGTAAGAAGAGCGTAGGGTAGGGTCAAGGTACGAGAAGCGTAGGGTAGGGTAGGGCCAGGGTATCGAAATTCTCGCAGGGTGCGGTATAAGGTACGAAAAAGTTGTACCCTGCAGGACTCTATTGTGAATGCATTGATCTGTTAGTTGGCATAATTTTAACATTTGGTAAACCACGGTGAATAACTTTTTGTTGTTGTTTATAATATTCAAATGTTGAAACATCAGTTACTAGAAGTTCTAATGGATCAGGATGTTTAACAGCACGTATACGTTGTGTTATTTGCTCGTGACTCAAATTTTGGATATTTTGACCATTGATTTCAATTAAACGATCATCCGTTTCTATACCAGCAAGTTCAGCATCTATATAGAATAAATCAAATAAAATCATGAACTTTATCCTTTTAGAATAAGAAAATGTCTGATAGAATTGGTTTTATAAGAGCGAAAACTTAACTTTTCATTTTATTTGTTGTAATAAAAATTCATCTTATCATAAAATAATTTTTTTAATACCTTATTATGTATATTCATATATTTGCAGATGTTTATATTCAATTTTCATTTCTTATGAATGATAAAACTTCATTTAAAAATATGAATTGGAATTTCTTTTAGTTAACTGCTCTGTTTTTTATATATTTCATTTAAAAATAATTAAAGTACATTCATGTTCATGTTTAATAGGCAATATCTACATGCTTAGTTCTAAAAGTTAGATTTTAATCCATTAGAAGTATTTTCCGTGAGATTCATTTATTTTTTTTTTATTAAGTACTCACTTGAATACATTGCTACTTGTTTTTTTGTACTTGAACGCCTAAACATTTTCTTAACATTTCGAACTGATAAGAACTAACTTATTATTTCGAACAGATGATTTTTTTTGACCACTCTCTTTATTTTTCTTTTTTTCTTTTTGAATGAAAAATTCTTAATTCTCAAGAGTTTGTGATTTATTCAATTTTAATTTTTAAAGAGTTAAAATAATCTATTTGAAATAAACGATAGAAATTATTTTGATGTTACTGATTAATAATTAATGATCAAGAGAAGAACAACAAAAAAAAGAGGAAATTGCAATAAAAATACATCATTGAAAATCTTACTTGATCGTCCATTATCTCGACCAGGTATAATAGATAATGAATGAAATTGCTCTCGACGATGATAATTAAGTTCAAAACCAAATGTATCACTAGGATCAGCTCGATAAATAGTACATAAACGAATATTTTCATTTCGTAATGGTATTGATGATGAAGGAATAATTATTGGTAGTTCTTGTGATCTTGTCGATTGTGTGAGATCATCTACACTTGGTGTTATAACTTTTGCTATCTCACGAATTGTTGATGTATTCGATGATGGTGATTGATTACCATGATTGATAGGTGAAGCTAAATAAAAAGGTTCCACATAAACCGTTGTCATTTTTCTTAGGCAGAAAAAAAAATCAGAACTATTCAAATAGCTTTTTTTTCTCTAATAAATAAAGACTGAAAAGTGATATAAAACTCCTTAATTTTCAAGTTTTGAACAAATACAATATTCAAGGTTGATCAGGTTAGTAATGAAATTATATATATGTATATATTCTTTTTTAGGATTATTTGATACTTAGATATGGGTTTATTTGTATGATATTGATTTAGTAATAATGTACCTGTTAATTGGTTCTGATGTTGTCCTTGTGATCTTAATAGTATTTTATTTAATTGAGCATATTTATATGTTTCAGTATCAACAACATATAATTTAACAGCACCTTTTGTTTTTGCTTTATCTAATTTTTCTAATATAGACTTGCTTATATCTTTATCAACATCTTTATCATCAATTTCAATAATACGATCACATTTACGTAATGGTGTATTACTAGCTGGTGTATTTGGAAATACTTCTTGAATATATGCACCAATATCATTTTCACCATTAATAACATCAAAACCAAATGATGAATCATTTTTACCTAAACGTATATTACATGTGCGTGGTGTATGTTTAGGAAAATTTAAATATTCATTTGGCATTGTTGCTGGTGTATTTATAATAGTTGCCATTTGTGGAATAATTGTTAGATTTTTATTCTTTAACATTTGATAAAAACGTTGTTCAACAACAAGTAGTTCAATAGGTGCATTACTATCACGAGCTGTTTTAATAGCATTTCGTACACGATTATAATCAGCTTCTGATACATCTTCTTGATTAACAGCTAATACAACATCAAGAATTTTCAAACCCCCAGCTGCAGCTGGACTATTGGAATCTACAAGTCGAATTATATGTGGTGGTCGAGTAGATGCTTCAAGATTAAAACCAAGTCCTTCGAATTCTGGCCAAACACGTAATCGACATAGACGAACATTAGCGTTACGCAAAAGTTCAGCGTCACTGATTGCAGACATAATTGAAGTTCTCTTCGATTATTTTTTTAAAATTTAGTTTATCAGTTGAATAGAGATGGCAAAATCTAGAAAAGAAACTCTCCGAAAGATTATATATCGTATGCAGATATAAGTACATATAGGTATCATTTCAAGTAGAGCATAGACATACATATTTATCTCCATATATCAATGTTCGCAATACGGAACTAGACATGAGATAGTAGCATTCACGATTCAGTAAGAGATTAGTCAAATATTTTGGAAACATTTATTATTGGAACAACATTCTAAGCCTAAATGTACTACGAAATCGATTGATGTTCTTGTATGACAATTCCTAATCGATGTTGAATTGATTTATTGTCAACAAGGGAGACTTTTCAAGTGTTAGATCGTTGTTTTGATAAGAGATCATAGTGAGTTATGTAACAGCTTAAAAGGGATTCGTTCGCCTGAACATTTGTTCTTGCAATATTGAATTTTTACTGTATTTTTAACAGAATGCGGTATTTCTCCTCAGATAACCATGAAAATTGAGTCTCGACTTGAAAGTTTGCATACATGAAGTTCTCAATGACACCAGTTTATTGTGGAAGTTTCACTGATGTATGAATCTACTATTTTGAGATATGAATACTGAAAAATTTCTGATAAAAATCAGTCATTTTTTCGATATTTATATATCAGGCAACTAAATCCTTCAATTAGTGTATTAGTATCGTTTTAGTATGAAAGACGAATGAAAGAACAAGAAAAAAAAAAGTGAAATCACTGAGGAAAAAAGAAGCATAGTGTGATAATGTTGTCAATATTATTTCGCGCATACTGTGACGCTCATTGATTATTTTGCTTAGAGTTACTTTTCGGCTGTACGAACGACGAATGAAAGAGCAAGCAAGCGATAGTTAAATTCACACATTGCAAACAAACAAGCCATGTGCTACTATTCTTCCACTCATTTTTCGCGATATCGTTAAATACGCGAAGGAAGACAGCTTTTTTAAATGAATATACACATGATTTTGCTTTAGTTTATACACAGAACAAGATTGATACTAAAGTCACGAGATGCCTAATTCGAGTTCGAATATAAATGGAGCTTCAACTGCTTGCTATCACTTCGAATATAACAAAAAAAGGCACCCATATAACTACGGCCAAAAAACTAAAAGATAAATTTTTATTCGAATTCGAATTTATAATTCGAAAAAGGCACCCATATAACTACGGCCAAAAAAGTAAAAGATCAATTTTTACTCGCATTCGAATTTATAATTCGAATAAGGCACCCATATAACTACGGCCGAAAAAGTAAAAGATAAACTTTTATTCGAATTCGAATTTATAATTCGAATAAGGCATCCACATAACTACGGCCAAAAAAGTAAAATATAAATTTTAATTCGAATTCGAATTTATAATTCGAAAAAGGCACCCATACAACTGCGGCCAAAAAAGTAAAAGATAAATTTTAATTCGAATTCGAATTTATAATTCGAATAAGGCATCCATATAACTACGGCCAAAAAAGTAAAATATAAATTTTTATTCGACTTCGACTTTATACTTCGAATAAGGCACCCATATAACTACGGCCAAAAAAGTAAAAGATAAATGCTTACTCGAATTCGAATTCATAATTCGAATAAGGCACCCATATAACTACGGCCAAAAAAGTCAAAGATAAATGGTTACTCGAATTCGAATTTATAATTCGAATAAGGCATCCATATAACTACGGCCAAAAAAGTAAAAGATAACTTTTATTCGAATTCGAATTTATAATTCGAATAAGGCACTCATATAACTACGGCCAAAAAAGTAAAATATAAATTTTTATTCGACTTCGACTTTATACTTCGAATAAGGCACCCATATAACTACGGCCAAAAAAGTAAAAGATAAACTTTTATTTGAATTCGAATTTATACTTCGAATAAGGCATCCATATAACTACGGCCAAAAAAGTAAAAGATAAACTTTTAT